TCAACAATCTTATGAGGTATGAATTATCATGGCTTGCTCTATTGTTCTAGCGAATTTACACTGATTTCACATGGGCAGACTTTTGACAAAGTTGCCGTGCTATACGAGGGTCGACAGATATACTATGGGCCTGTCGAATTGGCCAAAAATTACTTCGTGAATCTTGGCTATCACTGCCCAGATCGACAGACAACTCCTGACTTCCTGACTTCCCTCACGAATCCGGTTGAACGAGTAGCGAGATCTGGATTTGAAGCCAAAGTGCCCCGATCTCCAGATGACTTCGCGAAGGCTTGGGAAGAAAGTTCACTTCACAAGGAGCTAATGCAGGATATTGTGGAGTTCGAAAAGGAACACCCAGTGGGAGGCCCGGCAGTTGACAGTTTCAAAAAATCCCGGCAAGCTGAAAAGGCTTCTTGGATGTAAGTTCTTTCTTTTGATTTGTGAAAACTATACGCGCGAAGAAACTGACAGGTTCAGGACACCAAACTCGCCATATACAATTTCAGTCCCATTGCAAGTACTTCTCTGCATCCGCAGGGGATTCCGCCGAATTCAAGGCGATATGACCTTCTTTAGCATCACGATCGGTGGAAACTTGGTAATTTCATTGCTTTTGGGTAGTGTCTTCTACATGCTAGAGGATACAAGTGCCAGTTTCCAGAGTCGTTGCATTCTATTATTTTTTGCGCTGCTATTCAATGCCCTCAACAGTTCCTTGGAGGTACGTCAATTTTGGTTCAATTAAAAATTGAAACAGTCAAACTGACAGAGCTTGGCAGATTTTATCACTTTACGCACAGCGCTCAATCGTTGAAAAGCATGCCACCTATGCTTTCTACCATCCATTGTCCGAAGCAGTGGCATCTATGATCTGTGACATTCCCTCCAAAATACTCTCTACGATCGCATTTAACATCCCACTGTATTACATGGCAAATTTGCGAACAGAATCGGGACACGTTATCACATACTTGTTAATTGTTTTCTCCTCAACCCTTGTCATGTCAATGATCTTTCGCACGATCGGCCAATCAACTCGAACAATTGCGGAAGCCTTGACGCCAGCGGCACTGATGGTCATTGCCATGGTTCTATACACGGGCTTCATTTTACCCATCCGCAACATGCAAGGTTGGTTGCGATGGCTTCATTATATTAACCCTCTTGCCTATTCCTACGAGGCGTTGGTCGCGAACGAATTCCATGGTCGCAACTTCGAATGTGCCGGTTTTATACCAGCTGGACCTATGTATCAAAACATAACAGCTGCGGACCGCACATGTTCAGTGGTTGGTGCTTCGGCTGGATCATCTGTGGTTAGCGGAGACCTCTATATTGCTATGAGCTATGGGTATTATTACTCACATGTGTGGAGGTACGTTTTTTTTTCTTTTTTCGAGTTAGAATTTCTCTGACATGCGCTATACAGGAACTTCGGCATCCTTATTGCCTTCATAATATGCTTCATGATTGGTTATCTACTGTCAGCCGAGTACATCAGCTCTGACGTAGGCAAAGGAGAAATTCTTCTTTTCCAACGCAGTCATTTCTCTGCTATTAAAAAGACGCAAAAAGCAGATGAGGAGGTTGGATCTTCAGGTTTGCACGAGAAATACAGGCAAGATGAAACAAACGGAGAAGCATCGACTGGTATCACGGCACAAAAAAATATTTTCCATTGGCGAGATCTGTGCTATGAGGTGTCAATCAAGGGTAAAACGAGAAGAATCACCGATCATGTCAACGGCTGGGTCAAGCCAGGCAAACTCACGGCTCTGATGGTAAGTGCGGCTATTATATTCGAATGACAACCCAATTGAAGTGAAGGCTGATGAAGTGCAGGGTGCGTCGGGAGCCGGCAAAACCACACTACTAGATGTGCTAGCCAATCGAGTGACCATGGGAGTTGTGACGGGTGGAATTTACAACAACGGCCTTCCACGAGATGCCTCCTTTCAACGTCGAATTGGTTATGTTCAGCAGCAAGATCTGCATTTGGAGACTGCCACCATTAGAGAGGCATTGGAATTCAGTGCTTTCTTGAGACAGCCTGCACATGTCAGCAAGGCTGAGAAGCTTCAAAGTGTCGAGGAAATTCTGGATCTGCTTGAAATGAGATCTTATGCCGACGCTGTCGTTGGCGTTCCAGGTGAAGGGTTGAATGTTGAGCAGAGGAAGCGACTGACTATTGGCGTGGAGCTTGCAGCGAAGCCCGATCTTTTGTTTTTCCTTGACGAACCAACGTCCGGACTAGACAGTCAGACTGCATGGTCAATCTTACTCCTTCTGCGGAAACTCACAGACCATGGGCAAGCCATTCTCTGCACGATCCATCAGCCCTCGTCAATGCTCTTCCAACAGTTTGATCGACTGCTCCTTCTTGCAGCCGGTGGTCGCACGGTTTATTTCGGCGATATCGGCGAGAACTCAAAGACTATGACGGGGTATTTCGAGCGTCACGGAGCAGATCATTGCGACGAAAATGATAATCCAGCAGAATGGATGCTCCGTGTTATTGGTGCCGCCCCAGGGAGCGCAACAAAGATTGATTGGCCAGCCACCTGGCTTGGTAGTCAGGAATACGCCGATGTGAAAGAGGAACTGATCTCGCTAGAGCGCAAAGATGGTGTGGAGACTAATTCTTCTGCCGATCCCTCCCTCCAGTTTGCCAGTCCCTTCCATGTCCAGCTGTGGGCCTGCACAAAGCGGGTTTTCGAGCAATACTGGCGAACTCCTTCTTACCTCTATTCGAAATTGACTATGTGTTTTGTCACTGTATGTCCAATGCGTTTTCACTCTCCATGAAAATCAGGATGCTAATCTGCTGTCGTTGGTTCAGGCTTTGTTCATTGGACTTTCTTTCCTACAGACAAAAGTTACCGAGCTCGGACTGCAGCACCAAATGTTCGCTGTTTTCATGCTTCTTGTTATCTTCCCCTTCCTGGCATATCAACAGATGCCGAATTACATCCTCCAGCGTGATCTTTATGAAGTCCGGGAGCGTCCATCCAAGACTTACTCCTGGATAACCTTCATACTGGCCCAGGTGATCGTCGAGATACCATGGAACTCGCTGGCTGCATTGATTACTTTCATTCCGTTCTACTACCTGATTGGCATGAACCATAATGCCGCACCGACTCATCAAACTACCGAGAGGGGCGGCTTGATGTTCCTCCTCATCTGGGGCTTCCTCATGCACTGCGGTACATTTACCACCATGGTAGTCGCAAGTGCCGCCACAGCAGAGATCGGTGCAATTCTGGCACTCCTTCTGTTTGTATTTTGCTTAATCTTCTGCGGAGTCATGGCAACCCCAGCTAGCTTACCTGGCTTCTGGATCTTCATGTACCGTGTGTCTCCCCTGACCTACATCATTAGCGGAATGATGTCCACTGGACTCGCCAATATCGATGTGCACTGTTCAGACATAGAGACTACCCTAGTTCAGCCACCCAGCGGGGAGACCTGTGGAAGCTATCTGGGGGCATACCTGCAGATTGCTGGAGGTGCGATATACAATCCTAATGCCACATCTGATTGTCAATTCTGCACCATAGCCGACTCCAATGTGTTTTTGGAATCGGTTTCGTCTTCCTACACCGACCGCTGGAGGAACTTTGGCTTGATTTGGGCGTATGTGGCTTTCAATGTGGCTGCTACATTGATCCTATACTGGTACGTACGGGTCCGTGGTAGCCCGGGCCTGTCGCATGTGGTTTCTTGGGTCCAAAAAGCTTCCAAGCACCTGTCATGGAAGAAAGCGCAGTGAGAGACAGATATGTACGATTCCAATGGGTATTCATAGATTGAGTGGTAGCTAGAGATTTCTTGTTTCTCGTACCCCTGCACTGATGTTTATGTATGTCAAGAAATTTGATTATTAATTATTCTCGTTTTCTTTCTTATTGTCAACTGTATCTTAGCCCAAACTACCATTTCCTACATCCAACTGGTACACAGTAAGCATATTCCCGCACTCCGGGCGCGCTGGTAAACGCCTCGCTCGTTCTTCCGGAAGCCAAGTGAGTTAGGCAGCATATCCCCCCCCCCCCCCCCCTTACGGATCTCACCCTCAAT